TGTATATTTATATATATATATATATATATATGTATGTATATTAGTAGAATACATCATCAATTGACATAAATCTAGCTGTCATTATAATTTCTATAAAAAAAAAAATGAAACGAAGTTTACAATTGATTGTGGAATGCAACTAAGTTTTAAATACATGAAAAGTGAGTTTTGCTGTTGTTTCAATGACTTGAGTAAGATTACCGCATGTTTATAATATATAGTTATATACATTCAGGTCTCGAACAAAAAAAAAATTAAAAAAAAAAAACAGACAGTCTTCGATGACTTCATCATGTATAAAATGCTATTACTAGCTGTGTCTGTAATATTTATATAAATGCATTGTATTTGCTGCCTATGATATATTAACAACATTGGCAAAACTGTAAACTAGTATAATTTTTAAATATATAACATTTTATGTGATTATATTATTAAATAAAATATATCTATAATTTAATGACAAGTAATTAAATAATTAATTCATATGTTTTAATTATTATTCACAAATTACATTTGAAAATCAATGAATTAAAAATAATAATAATAACAACTTAAAGACATGATTTTCAATATAAAATGTCTATATCGTATTAATTATTTTATTTCTTAAATATAATGTATCATTAAATTTAATAATATTAATTATTTAATCATTTTAATGTCCATATCGTATTAATTATTATTTTTTCACAAGTGAACTTACCAGATTTGTGTCTAACCAAATAAAACAAATGATTGAAAACCAAATGAACTACCATGATCCTTGTCTCATTGAAGATTCTAAACCCTAAACCCTAAACCCTAAACTCTCTTAACAGTAAAAACAACTTCAACTTTGTTAGTGGCAGAGTAGATGTATACCAGGCCAACTAACTAAGACATTCAAACCACGCTCTTCACTTCCATCTCATTCTGATTTCTATTTTCTAACTCCATTCCACATTTCTGCCATTTACACTATTTTTTTTTTATTTTATTATTTAGGTACCTCAAATTCCCAATTTCATTTAATAACAAAATTCACCAACCAATTGTGAAAGAAATTAAACTTCATGGTAGACAAATTCTTTCAAAATTATTAAAGCTGATTTCATGATATTTAATTTGCAAGGTTTTTGTTGGAAATTTCATGTTATATACAAATGGAATTTGTGAAACTAAATAAGTTTTAAATTTAAATTCTAAGATAGTATCAAAATTTATCTTAATAATTATAGTTAAACCTACATTAATCAATGATAAAATCAAATCCATCTTGTGAAATTGAATTAGACTCAAATTCAGATTTTTAAGGGATTTTTTTTATTTAATTTAAATAGAATAAATTGTCCGCAAGCAATTTTATAATCAAGTGGGTTTAATATAATTTGACTTTTCTACAGCTTCTAAAACTGATTACATAATTAAACATTATAGAACAAACCTCACGGTGGCGGCTTCAACCCCAGAACAAGTGAATGCATACAATCATATTGTTGTGAATTATACTTTTTGTCTGTTTGTGTGTTGTTTGTGTGTCTGAGTGAGAAAAACTGAAGGAAACGAATACACTTGCCATTCTTTTTTTAAGTTGCGGAATATGGAATAGAGAAGTTTTTAATTTGGACTGATCCGGTAGTTATAGTATTAAAATTGTAGATTGCTGCTAAAGCAATAGATAATCAATAACCAATAAAATTTATCCAAAAGAAAAAATCAATAACCAACAAAATTTATACATTCAATAACACTAAACATGAAATTTCTCATTATTAGACAAAAAAATTCTTTATAGCTAGAATCTATACAGAAAAAAGAAAGGTTAGTTGTTAGTTTGCGTTAGGAGTGGGATTTTGTACCTGCACTGAGATTGGAACAAAGGTTGAGAGGGAAAAGATAAATTGGAGAAAAATTTTAGGGGGTGAGGTGAAAGAATAGAGAGGAGAGATGAATTAGACTTTTTTAATGAAATTAATTTGCTAAAATAATTCATTAACTAATTTAAATAAATTACAATAAGTTTTGTATCCAAATATTTTGGTACACATTATTAACATGAGTAAACTAAAATTTAGGCCGACTCACATCATACTAATAACATGATACATTAACTATATATATTCCAATTTGATACAGCAGATTTGTTTGTTAATATAATGCATCACACTGTAAGTGTATAACTATATAATATTTATATTGATATTTGTTGTACATAAACAAGCGAAACTGCTAACATTTTTGTCTGTACATATGATTTAATTTTGAGTGAAAGTTGCTGGCTGGTTTAAAAATGAATAGAATGACGTGGAGGCCGCAGATGATGAAGAATTGATTGGATGGGAAGAGATAAAATTTAGTAACGTTGGTTGAATGAAAGACGTGGACTAAAATCATGAAATCAGCACACATATATTAATATGGCTTATTACAAGGGTCCATTGACCTGCACAAACTTGTGAAGATAATCTAGGTCGAGAAAGTGAAATGAAATATTCCACATGCAATGCCTCATTGCCTTGTCTTCATATATTTGTCTCACCAATGCATTCATTCATTTTACCTTGATTCACACGTAACCACCCTCTCATCTCGTTGACTTTAATATAACCTTCACTAATAAGCCATTCGAATTCTATTATTATCTCAAGAACAAGGTGGTACTATTTGATAATAAGATGAGCAACCCTGCAGTTAATTCCCCTGGATTCCTTGGCTCAAGCAACATCAGTGGCTATAGCTATGGCATAGGAATTTCCGTAGGGATTCTCTTGCTCATCATGACAATCACTCTAACATCCTACTTCTGCACCAGAACACGTGTCTCAACTACTGCTCCAGATACTAGGAATAGGAGGAGAAACAACCCTAATGAACTTCAACCACATCACTCTATAGTTGATGTAAGTCTAGATGAAGCAACGATTCTAAGTTATCCAACGCTTCTGTACTCTGAAGCCAAGCTCAAGAAGGGTGATTCCACTGCAACGTGTTGCTCCATATGTCTTGCGGATTACAAGGGTAGTGATGCGCTTCGAGTGCTACCTGATTGTGGCCACCAGTTCCACCTCAAGTGCATAGACCCGTGGTTGAGATTGCATCCTACTTGTCCAGTTTGCAGAACTTCTCCCATTCCAACGCCACTCTCAACTCCTCTCGCTGAAGTTGTTCCATTAGCAACCACACAGGATTCATAGCTACAACACCACCAGAATTTTGACTCAACTTATATCACTCATTCAAAAAAATACAATTGCCATGTATGTATCCATACAGGATTTTTTTTTCTTGCTACTTAAATTGCTTGATCCTTTACTTGATTTTTTTTCTTCTTCTGTAACCTTCTTATGAGAAAAAAAAAAAAAAAAAAAATTGGCATATCAAGGGTACAAACTCCGTAGAATGCCTCATTTTTTACTTTTGGGTCAACCCACCATTTAATATCAAAGTTTATTGTAACCAATGTTACTCAACTTGTTAGATTATCTATTAGGTCATTATATATTACTCACATATGTCCAATTCTACAAATTTCATATTCAACGTGCGAAATAATATTTATCCTATAAATTAATTTTGTAGTATATATAAGAGGAAAAAAATCTTTATCTTACAAACTTAAGCCTTAACAATTTTTTTATTTATAACTGAATCATCATTTATTTCAGCGTATGAATTGTTTCAAATTTCAGACCTAGCCCATAAAATTGTTATGAAAATTATAAATAATTAAATATAGATTATAAAATCATATTTGAATGGTGAAAATTAAAAACATTGCACTTACATAACTTTAGAATATCATATGATTATTAACAAACTTTTAATTTTGATGATCTATATATATGATTTAGATTTATATCTCTTATTTCTCGGAATAAATAGAAAAACTCATTAATTTGATGCTTTTCTTGTCTGTATAGATTTTCTGTTATTCGTAAACCCTTTGAATTGCTGTATCAGGTATGACTAGACTCTCCATCCTAGATGATATCCTCGGCAATATTTTGCACTGATCCTTTAACATCCGTATTCGAAGCTAACGAGAAAACAACCTCTACAAAACTAACTGTTGCCAATAATTGAAAAGTCATGTACATCATTTAATTGAAAACCGAAACGACCAAAACAAATATGCATGCATATTAGGTTCAAAGACAACTTATGTGATCCAAAATTCAAACCACCGCCAGCATCAAATTCAACCAGCTTATATCATAATGCTCTTGACAAAAGATAAGTGACAGAACCAAAATCCAATCATCCGAAAACTACGAAAGGCCAACGGCTAGAGGATAAAACATTAAAGTGTCGGTGAGCATAGTTGCATTTAACGATAGTACAACATAATTTAATAAAATTATCTTCACACAAAATAATTTGTTTCTTTTAACATAAATTATATTTTATAATATGCCCAACACCTATAAAAACCGAGCATTAGAGCACAGAAACAATGATATAGTAAAAGGAGAGAGAGTTATCTGGAAGGTTCTTAAAAGAACTTATATCAATCCTCATTCATATTTCCCTTATAATGGACACCGAAAGAATTCACGTCTACTAATTAGTGTCTATACAAATTATTAGAAAGAGAAAGGAACAAAAATAATAGAAAAAGAGAAAGATGGAGGAGAAAAAATTGTAGGGTGAGAGAATGGAAAAAGAGAGAGAGATTTAATTTATTAATTTTTATTATTTTAATATTTAGTATTTAAAATAATTTTTAATTTTCTAGTATTATTTATATTTTTAGCTAACCATCGGTAGTGCATTGGACCGCCTGGTGGTATGAGAGCAAATAAGGGTAAAGTTTTTTAAAAAAGTGATTCTAAAAATATTATTAAAAAAAATCAGATTTTATAAAATTATGAAAATAATTTCCTTTAATAACCAAAAGTAAAATTTTTTTCCTTTCCATATTCTGGTATTTTCTCAATTATTTAAACAAGTACCGTAAATTAAAAAAAAATTATAAAAAAACTAAAAGTAAGTGAAAACCTGTGAGTCTTCCTTCCGATTCCACTCCCCCAAGGCAACCAACAAAGATCTTTATTAACATATGTTATGTTGTAACGAGTATAAGGTTAAGGAGGGGAACCATCCCTCAAAAGCCGGCCCAAGAGGTTGGAGAACCTCTCGATGGCTGCACTCCACGGTACTTCACTCATCGGCACTTCACTCGGCCCTTGCCGGTCAGAACCCTCCGATGGTCAGAACCCTCCGTGGGTAGCCCTTCTCGATTTGGCTGGCTCTCAATGAAAGCACCATTGTAACGAGCATAAGGCTAAGGAGGGGAACCATCCCTCAAAAGCCGGCCCAAGAGGTTGGAGAACCTCCCGCCTTATAAGGCCTCCCTGGTAAGGAGACCTCCCCGATGTGGGACTTGTTACATTACCACCCCCTTCGAAAGCCAGCGTCCTCGATGGCTGCACTCCACGGTACTTCACTCATCGGCACTTCACTCGGCCCTTGCCGGTCAGAACCCTCCGATGGTCAGAACCCTCCGTGGGTAGCCCTTCTCGATTTGGCTGGCTCTCAACGAAAGCACCATTGTAACGAGCATAAGGCTAAGGAGGGGAACCATCCCTCAAAAGCCGGCCCAAGAGGTTGGAGAACCTCCCGCCTTATAAGGCCTCCCTGGTAAGGAGACCTCCCCGATGTGGGACTTGTTACATTACCACCCCCTTCGAAAGCCAGCGTCCTCGATGGCTGCACTCCACGGTACTTCACTCATCGGCACTTCACTCGGCCCTTGCCGGTCAGAACCCTCCGATGGTCAGAACCCTCCGTGGGTAGCCCTTCTCGATTTGGCTGGCTCTCAACGAAAGCACCATTGTAACGAGCATAAGGCTAAGGAGGGGAACCATCCCTCAAAAGCCGGCCCAAGAGGTTGGAGAACCTCCCGCCTTATAAGGCCTCCCTGGTAAGGAGACCTCCCCGATGTGGGACTTGTTACATTACCACCCCCTTCGAAAGCCAGCGTCCTCGATGGCTGCACTCCACGGTACTTCACTCATCGGCACTTCACTCGGCCCTTGCCGGTCAGAACCCTCCGATGGTCAGAACCCTCCGTGGGTAGCCCTTCTCGATTTGGTTGGCTCTCAATGAAAGCACCATTATAACGAGCATAAGGCTAAGGAGGGGAACCATCCCTCAAAAGCCGGCCCAAGAGGTTGGAGAACCTCCCGCCTTATAAGGCCTCCCTGGTAAGGAGACCTCCCCGATGTGGGACTTGTTACATATGTTATTGAGTATTTCTGCATCTTTAGCATTGTTACTCTTAGGAGATGGAGAGCGTAAGGACTAAGGTGGAAGCTCCTTCTGTTTTTGTCTTTCTCCATCTCTCTACCTTACCAACTCCCCTATTCCACCGAACTTCACTATTGCGGTTAGTCTCTTCTCCTTGTTCCTTAAACCTTTTCTATTTTCTTTTTATTTTAGGCTTAATACTTATCTTGCTCATTCGTTTTTTGAATACATATCTAAATTATAAAAAATTGTAATTAAATCTTTAATCTTTTCGATTTTTTATAATCACTTTTTACAAACCATTAACTTATATTTAGTGACCTAATTATACAAAGATATTAGAGACTTAACTAAAAAATTTTAAAATTATTTAATATGAAAAAATTGTGTGTTAACATATTTTTTTTATATATATTTTGAAGTGAAGGAAATAACCTTTTTCTAAAATAATGACACATAATATATATATATATATATATATATATATATAT